ACAATAAAGATGGAGTATTTGCCTTTATAGAACTTATAACGCTAAGATTTTGAAACAGACCTACTTCACTTCTTGAGGAAGTTACTGCTTTTGTAATATTTATATAAGCAAGGTTTCTCAGGTCACTGGCTGTTAAATAAACCTAGTTTAACCATGTTAAAGATTTAAGAATTCCTTACCTCACACTCTGCATTAACTTTCATTCTTTTCCAATATTTCCTCTTGCTAAGAAGTTTCCAGGTTCTCAGCTGTAGCATAATATAAGAATGATTATTATATAACATTTTTTTCTCTGCTTCAGATAGCTTTGGAGCCAAAGATCCTTATCTCCTCTGTTCCAAATTTATATAATACTTCTATCTTCCTCATTGAGTTTATAAGAAATGATGTAAGTCTATGTATGTGAGACTTGCATAATAATAAAAGAAGAACAGTATGAACTTAGGATATTGTCAGAATAATAGTCATTTGCTTGGATTAATTATATATTAATGATGTTTGGTGATTAATGATACAGTATGATTGCTTTAGACCACAAGTTTTACCTCTGCTATTGAGCCTAGATATTATTTAGCACATCATGAAATCCAGGTTCAGAAAAATGTGGTTGTTTGGACTAATCAGTTGATAAGTGAGTAGGAATTAAAGGTTGATATTCCATCTTATGTTTTAGTTTAATTTTTATTGTCTTGTGCTATTATTTGATAGACTTAACCTATGACTGTCTTAGAAAAATCATTTTAGTTATGTAAGTAATACAGTCTCCTGGGAAATTCTTAGAATATTTCACCTAAGGTTAAATTCCAATTTGATCACCAAGCCAATCACACAAGAGCATCTTTTTTCAGAAAGTGAAAAAATTTCAAACAGTCAAGTATCTTTTTGGATTAGGTGGGTAAAAAAGTGACAGAAAACCCCAGAATAACAGTGGCTGAAACCAAATATAAATTCTTTTCAGTCTCATATTCACACACTCCAGCTGGTGTTACTCAAGGCTATATGGGTATTCTAAAATATCAGGGACCCTGCCCCTCTTTGTTTCTCCATAATAGTGGCCTCCAACTTATGGCCAAGATGGCAGTTGGAGTTTCAGTCATTATATTGCATTCTAGCTACAAGAAAAAAAGTACCCCTCCCTACTTTAAGTATACTCTTAGAAGTCACAAATCATTTTCACTTGACTCTTAATGTGTAAAAGTTAGTGACATGAACATAATTAGCTGCAAAGAGACTAAGAAATGTGATCTTTATTCCAGGCTGCTACATGCCCAAGTGAAAACTGGGGCTTTCATTGTTATGGAAGAAGGGGGAACAGTGTCTGCCATAGTAAGTGTCCAGGGACAGTAAGAATTCTATTGCCTATTACTTTATTTTCTTGTCCAGCCCAGATATCTGCTGAAAACCTTGGCCATTATCAAGAGAGTCACGCTTAGCAAAATATTAGGAGTCCCATCCTTACTAGTGAATGATGCCTAAAAATCTATTCTTCTGGCATTTTATATCTGATATATCAGGGATAATTTTGATTTTCCTTGGAACTTTCATAAACATCCACTTCAAGGAATAGTTATAACAATAGCAATAAAACAGCAAGTTGCAAAATATGTAATAAAATGAACAACTGACCACATGATACTATATATATTTTCTGCATACACAAATATATAGATATATTATAGACATATATCTATATATAATTTAAAAAACCTTGAAGGCTACAGGCAAAACTGATAGTGATCATTACCTTTTGTGCTGTGGGATCAGGGTTGATGATCAAATTGGACTTTATCTGTAAAGTTCTAAAAATTTGCAGCAAAATAAGGTATGCTTGGGAAGGTAGCAGGAGTAGAAAGTAGACATATTTTGTGGAAACTCTTAGGAATTCTGTAGTGCCCTAACTGTATAGCCATTGTATCAATTACAGGTTTTTATTGTGAGCAATAGAAACCAATTCTAATGAACAAAATCAAAAAGGGAATTGGAAGAGCACTGATTATCATAGATTCAAAGACAAAGTTGAAGAAGACTATGTAGTAGGAAGTAAGGGTAGCCACTATAAATCCAGCTCTCTTTCATTCTTGTGTCTCTGTTAAAGATTTACATCCTCATGAGGTGAAATGACATTGGCAAACCTTGAGGTGTATTCATTAGCTGAGGTTTGGGAGGTTAGAGTTGTAAATAAGTGGATACCTTGATTCTACGAAGACCAAGAGCGTAGAAAAGACTGTTGCCCAAGTAAAAGTTAGGATTGTGTTGACAGTAAAAAGGGTGAAACAATATTAGGAGGCAAAAGCAATAGATGTCTACAACTATCACAGAAGACGAAATCTATTAATTTTTCCTTGCTTTAGCTGTAATTTTTAGGATGCTCTGTGGGTATGTAGGGGAAGGTTCGGTTTTGAAGCTAGAATTAGTGATTTTAATTCTCAAAAGAGCGTTTACTCGGTTACACTACAGTGAACCAAGTTAACAAATCTTCTGTACTATCAAGATTTGCTTAGGAATTGTTTTCTTTACTGCTCTTATTTTCTGAGCAATTTAATCTCAACCTTCGTTGGTTATGCTATAGGAAGCCATGAGTGTCTGAGCTACTGTTCACAAATATTTACTACAAATCCCTGGAAAGGATTGTATTTTCTCACACCGTTGATTTCAAGGTTGGGCATAGCACTTGCTTTGGCCAAGAAAATATGAGTAGAAGTTATATATGTTACTTTTAAGCAGAAGCTTTAAGAGACATTGTGTGGCTCTGTTCTCTCCTCTGCACAATAACCGAAGATGGTTCAGATAGAAGATGTTTCATCAGTGTCTCAGTCCCCCAAGATGAAGAGCCACAGTAAACCTGCTATTTATGCATATTATTATTGAGAAGTAATCTCTTGCAACTGTAAACCACTGAGATTTGGGCTATTGGTTACTATAGTATAACCTAACCACTGTTGATTTATGTACTTGTAAAATGAATTCTCTGTTCAAATTTCACAGAGAATTTCCAACAAACTGTGGTTTTGAAAACAGACCATAAGCAGGAAATTAGGTAGACGCTGAATAAGTGAATATTAGTAGTAGTAGAAATAGCAGTAGTAGTAGAATAGTAGTAGAAAACATGTAGATTTTTCTAAACAAGCAACTGATAAAATTACTTTTCTGTTTGAGACTTTTAATATCAAAGTAATACATAGTATATATCGTAACATGGAACACTCACTTTTGGACAGAACAGTGCATTAAAGAAATTCTCAAATATCTGATTATCTCCTTTCGTACTAATTAGTAATTATTTTCCATGTAAATTTAGGTTTTTTATTATTAAGTGATATATATTTTATATCTATATTATATATGTAATATAGATATTTTATATATATATATGACAAGCTGAGGAACATAAAGCTAGAAAAGCAAAAGCAGATAAGTTATGATCAATTTAAGGAGCTACATTTCTAGATCAATAACATAAACAGTAGGTTGCAATGATTTAACCTAGTAGTAATTGCTCCTTAACTCTTCGCAAAAAACAATCACTGGGTGTATTTTCTCTCTTAAATATTTCCCAAATCTATCCTTTCCTTCCTATCCTTACCATCACTTCTTTAAATCAGATATTCATCATCTCTTTCTAAAGGTTTGTGATAGTCCCTTAACTAATCCCTGCAGTGTTGCTCTCCTCCATGTTACCTTTTTCAAAGTTGCTGAATACTGTTTCTAAAACACAGATTTGATTATCTGATTTCCTTGCATTAGACCGTTTTGGTTCAACACTTTCTGGTACAATGACAAGGTCCAACCTCCTTAAGTAGCACACAAGCCTTCCCTGAAAGCGATTGTGAGAATGAGTTGTAAGACCAGACTCTACTATCTGGACTTACTAAATATTTATAACAATATGTTTATTAAAATGTTAACTTCTATTAATATTAACTGGTTTCTCCCTCACTTCCTGTGTTTACTCTGTTTTGCCATTACCCGATTGCCTTGCAATTTTACATTTGTATTTCTTTATTCCTTTGTAGTTACTGATAACGCTCTCCTTCCACCCCACAAACTGGTTAGTATATACTACGTCAAGTTTTAACGTTAAGTTCAAGAGTAATTGGTTTTAATTTTGAGATTAAGTGACTTTTCATTGAGTAAGACACTTGTTTTATGAACTCCTCTGATACTTGGTCTATATCTCTATTATTCCAGTTATCACATGGTATGACATTATGTTTATGTATCTGTTTACCTCTATGAGACTATAGGCAACTTGAGAGCAGGAACTATGTCTTGTGCATGATTGTGCCCTGATACAGTTGCTGGCACATAGCAGACACATGATGAAAAAGTTTGTGGAATATGTAGGAAATTGCTGTATAAAGAAAAGATGATTATTTCACAAATCACTCTTGAACTCACTATTATGTGGTTCAGTTTTGTTTGATTGAGATCTTTGTGATACATTTCTTTTAAAATATATTTCCAGAGAATGTTATTTTTTGAATTCTTGATGCTTCCCTTCATCTAACAAAGATAAGTCAACCTAGTTACCTTTCCTCCCTTGATTGTTTCTACTCATAGAGCTAAAATTAATGCTCTACTCCAGTAACTATATTAGCATAGGTGTCTAGTATTTTCATTTCCCCAAATTAATAAATAAACTGTACTAAAATTATAGGCAATTTAAAATTTGTATGGGAAGTGAGCAGTACAAGCATGTTGACTTTTCATGATATATTAAAAAAAGAACAAAATGGGCATGTAAATGAAATAATATCTGCCGTGAATCTTGATATGGATATATTATTTAAAGGCTTGATTTCAACTATGTATAAATAAAGACTCTATTACTGTATAAAATTAAATTGGTGAATCTAGCAGATCATAATGATTTTATTTATATGGTTTTCATGTTGCAAGGAAGTTGTCACTTGGAATAAAGAAGCATTATTGTTGGCTCCAGAGTGTTGGAAACATATTTGTTATCTAATATATTACAACTGAAGATCTGCTTTTCACAGGACACTAACAAGTGCTGGTAAAGACCTACAAGATAATTTTCTGATGGCCCTGGCAATGAGAGAAGAAGACAATCGCAATGGAAAACTGAGTGTAAGTACATTTCACTTAATAGCTTAAAATGTATACCCTAAAGGCACAATTAACATTAAAAATATAACATTAAATATCTTTCTTAAAGTAATTTGTAAGATGTAAAATATGGTTCCTCTTTATTAATTATATATTATAGGAATAAATGTAAAAAGTCAAAAATTCTCATTTACATCTCTAGAAGTAGCCAAATGGTTAAAAAGAAAAAGGATTCTAAACATTTATTGCAAAGAAAATGCCTTTGCATGGCAGAATGGTTCTTTAACCTAGGTAAAGCCTCCAGCTTCTTTTAAACTTAACCTTTTTACACTCTCTCAAGTTGCATCACCAACTGACCCCAAGTTTTGTCCCCTGATTTTACGTGACTCCTAGAATATAGTACCATAGTCTGCCTTCTAGTCCTACCTTGGAAGATGTGATAGAAATCATATAATAGAAGAATATGTGTTATCATTATTATTTTGAATGATCCAAGGAGAATATACTTTTACTTTATTAAAATGTGTGCTATATCAAATATGTAGAGTATGCGAATATTATTTGGAATAAAGATTTACTTTCATGCTTTGTTAATATGATATTTGTGATAACAGTCTGTGTAAGTCTTAACATATTCCAAATAAAATTTAATAGAAAAGGCAAATATTCATGCTAAAAGTGTAGTAAGTGACTGACTTACAGAAAAATAATCAGAAATACTGTGATAAAAAATATTTAGAGCAACAGAACAATATATATATAAGGACATCTATTCTACCAATACTTTCTCAAAAAAAAGTTGGAGTTTTTCTCACTATCAGATCCACTGAAAATATCACATGCAGGCAAAACCCTCAATGTACTTCAGAGAGAGAAAAAATCATACCATGTTTAGTTAATAGAATAGAATTAGCCCCGACTTAAAATAAGGGAACATTTCTTGTAGGAAGTAGGCTGACAGAGGTTTTAAAAGGGTGGGGATGGAAACATGGGCAGAGACTAGACTTTGGACAGCCTTAGTAATCACAACAGAAAAGTCTGGAATTTATCTGACTGTTAGTACAGCAGCTAGAGAGGTTTGAGGAAAGGCAGGAGAAAGTGGTGTCAAAGAACCTGTTAAGGACGTCCAAGAAGGAACAAATGATTATCAGTGGTCAAACAAGATAAGGACTGAAAAACCATCCATTGTATTTGCCTGTAGACTATTATTATTTTTTTAATTTGTCAAGAACAAATTCCACCCACAGTAAAGGTAGAAAACAAATTCCATAAGGTTGAAAAAAATGGTTCACGATTAAATAGTAGGACCAGCAAGCACAGACAGCTTTAGAGACCCAGAGTCTGTGATTTGAACCACAACGATATGCTTCTTTTCAAACACATCTTCTTTATCTTGTTCTTCCATTGTTATCTCCTTTGATGACGAATTACAGCACTAACCACCAACTTACTCAGATCAGAAGCATGTCAGTTACAGACTCTTTCTCTCACCCATGTTGGATAAACTACCTACCACGTTCTCTTAAGTATAAGTCAAATCAATTTACTTTAATCATCCTAAGTATCGTTTACCTTGATTCAAGCCATTATTATATCTTAAAGAAATTAAAACAGACTTCTAAATGATATACCTATATATGTTCTTGCTTAACTTCCATTCATTTTCCAGTCACCCAAAACATATTTCTTGTGCATTTGCACAAGGTTGGAATGGTTCCAGGCATTGGGAGCCTGAGGTGCTGCAGAGTTCATGACTTTAGCAGGTTTATATTTTACAGAGTGGAGATAGAAAGTAAGACAAGATAAAAGTGGAATAATTAAATTCAGCTCTAGATGAATACTATAGAAAATATAATATTAATATTTAAATTAATACGCTCTTCCATCATCTGTTTAGACAAAACATTGAAATTTATGTGCAATTTATGTACAAAAATGTTTAAAAAATATTTTTATTTGTTGTACAGTGCTTCAAATGACAGGGACAATGAATGTTTTTCCCTAGTAATGTAGCTCTTTAGCTTTATTTTAAATATGAGCCGTTCATGTATGAAAATGTTTCTACCTCACGCCTCATGTATTTTAGGTTTAAAAATTCTTAAAAGACTAAAATGAATAATTGTATTATTTATTTCTCAATTGTATGCAGATCTATTGTTTCCCGAGCAAGTGTAGCTTTCTGATTGCTCATGCTATGAAGTTTTTAACACTACTACCACAGTGAAGCATTTATAAAGTGTATGCTTATGATAAGTGCTTGGCACAGCACATTGTACTGGTCTGTTTTAGAATAGCCAACAACTCACATTAGAGGCAAATGACAGTAATTCAAACAGATGTAAAAAATTCAGAGACCTGAACTCATCAAATAAATATACGAGCTATTACAAATGCATTTTCTCAGAAATATCAGTGGAAAATTTATAGAAATTAAATATTTAAATGAGGCTGAAACTAGGACATAATTTAATCTCCAGATATGTTGCAATAGGAATGGTTGAATTACACAGTATGCTTTAATGAAGATGTACATCTTGAGAGCATTTCATGTATATGTTAGAGACTAAGGAACATCTTAGAGGTCAAGATGTGGTAATTGAAGAAAAAACTAGTTAGAAATTGGAGAGGTAAAATGGATTATTTTGAGACAATAATTTTCAATTTCTTTCAAGACTACTCTGAGGTATTTGCATAGCAGATCAATTTGTTTTATTTCCTTTCTTGGTGTCTATGATGCAGTTATCTTACAGTTTTTCTACTTTCTTCTGACTTTTTAACTCAATCTCTTTCTTGGGCTGATCATCTTATATCTCCAGTTGACCTGTATCGCTTCTACTATACACATTTTCCCTTAGTGAACCATCAAAACCCATGAGTTCACTGACTATGTTTCTTGCTACAAAAAAACAGAAACCTAGATCTTTTTTGTCTATCTATTAATTATGTTTTTTCAGTTAGTCATTAAACAAATAGTGATAAATGGCTCTATATGAGGCATCGTACTAACTACTTGGGATACAATGGGTGGCAAGTGCTTATGGAGCTTACAGTTGTTTGGGGCAGAAAATGAATAATCAAATAATCGTTATTTGTATAGAAATAAAAGCAAAACTGCAATGTGACAGGTGCTATGGAGGAAAAACACAAAAAGCTCTGATCATGTGTAAGTGGATAGAGGATGATATAATCAGATTTTCAGACAGAAAACATCAGTGTGCCTTTAGTATAGGGAATAAATTTCAGAAAGGATAAAGCAGATGCCAGCAGATGCATTGCAAAATCAGATGAAAAGAAGAGAGAAATGATTTGAGAGCTATTTAGAAGGCAAACGTGGCAGGATGCTGTGATAAGATATAGTTAAGGAAGGGGTAGAAAGAAAGGGGGTGGTCTTTGGAGATAGATAGATGGTGCTGCCACTCTGAGATGTAGTGCACTAAAAGATCAGAAATAGGGGACAGAGATCATGTGGTTGATTTTGAACATACTGAATTTGAGTTGTTTTTGACAAAAGAATATGTGCACATATTAAGAAGCTGGAGAAAAAGATCTGAATTCTACTCCAAAGTTTACCTCCATATTGCTATCCCTCAAATGCTCAACATTTACTCTATTAGTAAGTTATTTGTTTTTCCTTTTCCACTTATCAGATCTCACATCCATTTGGTCACGAACCCTGGTCAATTTTACTTGGTAAATAATTCTCAAATCAATGTGGGAGAGAAGGCAATGAAGCCAAAGAGATTGGTAACAGACAGGTCTAAGGGCTCTGTTACTGTGCTCAGTAGCAAGGACAGTGTTACTGAGATGGAGGTGATGAATGTCCCTAAAAGAATGTATACAAATGGTTAATGTGATCAGACATGCAATTTAAGAGTACACCGGCAGCAGTATATGGGGATAAGTGTGTCTCCATAGAGATGGGGAATGAGATATAAGACAGGGAGGTCAACTGAGAGGCCATTGTAACAGTTCAGGCAATACATAATAGAAGGCTGAGATAAATAAATGACAAAATGAATGGGAAGAGAAAGATAGATTGAGTGATTACTTAGGAGATAAAATCTGCAAACCATGTGCTTGTTTTTATGTAAGAAATGGTGATTTGTGAGAGTCAGTGGAGAGTGAGCAGCTGATAATAATTTTAATAATGGAAAGAAGTATAATCCTGGCTTTAGAGGATTTAGTATAGTTCAGTGATTATACAACAGAATTTTGAGGTAGACAGTTACTAGACTGAAGTTCCAGACTCACTGCCTACCAAGTATTATGGATTGCAAAGGACATTACTGTATTTTCTAAGCCACAATTTCCTTCTCTGTAATGTGGGAATTAAAAGAGTACCTTCATCTTAATATTGATTATTGAAAATATAGATTAAACATTTGTCACACTGTATGATACAACTATTTAATATATAATAAATTTTATAATAAAGGAGTGTTATAACTGCTAAAGCTATAATTGTGAATAAAATAGATATAGAAAATATGCAATACTTTTGCTCATAGTCTTTAAGGAAAACATTGATAAGATTTGAATTTCTCTTTAGAAAAGATAGTTGAAACAGTTCTTTGAGACAATCAGTTGCTTATAGATTTTATTAGAGATGCAAAGATTGCTGGTCATCATAAGATATTATAGCCATCAGAATATTTTTTAAAGAAACACTATAGATTTTTTTAGTGTTGTAGGAACCCCTCTCCATTTTAACTTGTACTCTGTCCAAACCACTTTACCATTTGTCAAAAACAAAGATGTTTGGGAGATGGGTCCTCCCTATAGTGCTTCTAATGTGATAGGATTATGTAACTCTTTCTAGTGAACAAGCATCCTCCCTATAGTGCTTCTAATGTAATAGGATTATGTAACTCTTTCTAGTGAACAAGCAGCTAGAGGAGGAGGTAATTATTTTTCAGATAGTAGCAAACTAAGAATCCCTGATTTGTTGAGTGAAAAAAGTAAAAATAAAACATTTCCTTTCTAATTAAAGACTCATGAAGATAATAATGAGAGGTCACATG